TGATGAGACGATGGGTTTTTTGTTATTGCAGTCCCAGGCCACCGTACATAACACATTTTATCTTTTTCTCTGCTCGTGAGCGTCGGAATTCAGTAAATCCTGCAATCTGATTGGTTCCTGGAGCGGGCGGAAGTTTCTCGTCCGGACCGCCACAGCGGGCGCAATCCGTCGTGTTGATCTATTTTCGTGAACGAATTAGCGGTAGTCGTCAATCTTTCGCCTTTTTTACATTTCCATAGACTATTAATCAACAAAACTGAACATTTTCCAGACCTCGGTCACAGTTTTTCACTATACGGACCTCCCAACCGGCCAATAACATATATATCTGCTGTCATATTTTATCGGCTCAATACCCTAAAAGGTACCACAAAAGCTTCAGCTGTGGATCTTTCGAGGCTAAACACGGTAAGACGTAACAAAACCGCTTTTTTAACCCCACAAGAAATGACGAGCATCCTGTCATTGTTTTATGGGAATCCCCCTTTTCCCCTCGGGAGGGGGGGAGGGGGGAGGAGGAGGATTCCCTTTAAAAAAAAGTTACGAACTTTGCATGCTTTCCCAATTTTCACGGTAAGTAGAAACATTTTAACGTCATTAATGAAAAGCTGGTGTATCGTTCTCGTGGGGAATCAATTCTTTTTGGACAAAATTAACCTGAAGACGGTTTTCGAACTCTATATTTTCCCGCGGTAGTAAAGCAATTTCTGTGCGAAGACACATTTTCTTAACGAGCACTCTTTAGATATTTGCATCCATATAAGCAATCCACTGAATATATAAGCGAGAGAGCCTCTCAGCAGGCAGGGGAAGACTTGCTTTGTTGGCAGTGAAATGCCGAAAAGAATGCCCAAGTATAAATGAATCAACCGAGCGACATCCTCGAGGTCCTTATTAGAGTAGTCCGCCGCTCTTTCCAAACAGAGCTCATTCTCGACTCCAGACCCTTCGCTTTCTTGACCGGGTGCGTAAGGTCTGGGGTAAGCCGTCCGTCACTTTGTTTGCTTGGCTGGATAGGCGTAAACGATCTGTCACTTCGAGACAATAAAGGCAATGTACACCACAGCTGGTTACGCAGTGTCACGCCATGTACGCCGGGTGTGACCGGCTTCGCCGTCCGTCATGCGCAAGAAAGGACCTCTGGGGACGACTGGGGCTAGGGATGCGTAGAAAACTGCGTCGTACGTTTTTCTGCTCTGAAGGCTGTAAACACTCAGTGTCGAAAATGGTAGAAAAAATGGTGGCGAAGAGATCTGGGAACGATATTACCTCGGGGTGTGTCTACATTAATAATGACGTCATACCCATGCTCGCGCAAGTTTTTCATGAGTCTCGCACCCAGTTGTCCTCGTTTGACCGACAAGCGGTTGTTGGTTGGTTGGATTGGCGTAAACAATCTGTTAACGATCGCTGGACTCGTGTAGACATTAAAGCGTTGGACTTAAGGAATAAACATTTTATTTGTTGCTACAGAGCCACAATATCGCTGGTAGTACAAGAAATGCTGTGTTTACACGTTTTCAGTCATTACAGCTTTTCAATAGAAACAAGTACAAAAATGTTAGCCATTTCCCTGAGAAAATATC